CGAGTGGTATTTAAGAGTAAGAGGTTTATTGCCTAATGACCAAAAGTTCATGGATTATAATTCAATTAAGAATAATTAATAGACCCAAGCAGTCGAAATTGTGATCGAGCCGGGATGAAAACTTATTAACGAGAAGCATAAAACTCTAAGGTTCATTTGAAAAAGTATAAGTCCATCGTGGTTATATGAGATTTTAACATCACAAAATGAAACAAAACTAATGCAATATTCGCCTATTTACACCACCTATGCTTTCTGCCCGAAGTGCAATAATCAAATGACGAAACAATCACGAAAATCCCCAAACAGAAATAGTGTAACCCTTCATATCAGGGCAAATAATGATGACCTTATAAAGGAGATGGCTGGTTATCTAGAAAGATTTTAGTCTTGATCGGTGGTAAGTATTATTTAGAACAATGGGTATGTGTTGGATGACGAATTTATTACAGTCCACCCTGCATGAGAACAACATTTGGGAAAGCAAGGCTATGTGAAATTGAATAGAAACATCAACTCTACTAATATCATTGTGGAAAAATTCTACTACCAGTCCTTCATCACCTTAAACGAAATAGGGTAAATACATCTCGTGTTATTGAAAATTTTGCTTCAGACGGCACTGGATACTATGTTGATAGCCACATAAGCCGGTAATATCGCCACTTGGAGGAAAACATTTGAGCTTGCGCGAGGAGTCTGCAGGCCGGACAGCCTGGCGCCTTAGCAATGTGGGTGTGACTGATCAAATAGTGGACTTGAAAGGGCGCCTACATCTTTGATTCTTCAGAAGAGACTAGTTTCACCTTCAGGTAGCTTCATGATTAAGTAGATTTCAATTATCGTGATTTTTACAAAAATTATACATATTGCGACAAGATAGTTTACCAAATGATCGACAGCCGATTATTCAGTGGGTTCATCATTTTGGGTTATAAGGATCGCTAGTCAATATAGCAACATCTTTTCATCGTAATAATGCTTCACAGCTTGGATGCTAATGATTGTCTAACGTGAGAAGCGAAATGAGTTAAAGTATTCTAGATGAAAAAATTTCCCATGAATTATAGGTACATCATTCTCGCAATAATTTATCGACTACATAACTGTCCTATCTCAACATCCAAACTGCAATATTAAGAAACTTTTACTGAAATGAGCACTTAGATACCTAAGAATAAATTAGGCCTATGGAGCTTTCGATTTGTTCATTTATGAACTACTGACTTCATTGTAAATAAAAGGTAAATAAAACTAATTCAATTTGTGAATGATATGTGAATAACTCACCTTTAGTTAAATTAGATATGAGTTTGAGATAAGATAAATTGCAGTGATAAAAAGCTGTTTCACTCTAGGTAACATAAAGTCAAAGATGAGAGTTAAATTTTCCTGCAGTGATGTTAGGCCTCAAGATTTTATTGACCTTACCAAAGGCCTTTCTCATCCAGGCTGAACTGCAGTTTCGCCTTCACTTAGGTCTGCTCTTAGCATCGCCCCACTGGGGGGCTCCAGGTTGTGAAGTGTATAGTATCAACACGCTACCACCAGGCCACATTGCCACGAGTTTCCCTGGATCATAGGAAAAGCGAATATGTAAAATCGAGCTCAAGAGCATTTGAAGCTTAAATAGGTCAAAACTGCAGTCAAACCTGTAAAAGAATGCCTTAAAAGAAGCAAGGCCATGTGAAATTCAATGTAAAAGTCAGATTTATAATATAATTTGTGAAAAAATAAACTATCAATACTTGATGCATCTATAAGAATTAGGGTTAATGCAGCTTTAGTGGTAGTTTAGAAACCTACTTAATACGGATATATGAATGATTAATATATGGTCGTTAAAAGTGATGATAATTCGTAAGGCCGAACATCAGATCAATAAAAGTTTCGAGACATTGGTCACCGTCTAAACTATTCCAGTAAGCAACTAAAGTGCGATATACATATACGTATGTATGAACATATAAGCGTAGAATGTCGCCACATTCAAAACTCATCCAATATTACCTACCTCCTCTTGATACCGACACCTCGCCTCCGCCTCGGTAAGGGCAGCATCGCTTAGTTCATGATGAAGAAGAGTATAACATATTATCAAGTCGAATATGGAGCGTAGGTGGCCGGCCAGCTGTCGAGAGTCAGCATCGAGCAAACAGCGCGTAATTACAGTGGTCAAAAAGACTTGATGAGCTTCGATGACGCCATCCAAATCGGCGGCTGCGTGTATCTGACGAACTAATGCCTCCCAAGCACATTCGAGTACCTAATGAAAAAGCAAGGATGATTAGAAGAGGTAAAAAAATAAAAAGGTCGATGAAATGAGATTAGAGATAAGGAAAATTCTTTGATATAAGTTATTTGCCTTGTTTTCGCAAAGCGATCCTATTGTCAGAATCCTATCATTTTTAGCTACAGTTCATCAGCATTAGTGAATAATCCTCAACGTCAGTAATCATCACAGCTACAGACTGAAAATCGCAACAATGAGGAATTTGATCATCAAAGTTAAGGAGTTCTGAGACGAAGCTGAACAAAATGATTCAGAGTTTCCTCAGTAAAATGTACCCCAGAGAATTCATAGAAAGAAATATAGAGGTCATAAAGAGAAAAAAATCAACTAAGATTTTATGAAAATAAGATCAGGAATCGAGAGGACGAACAAAAGTGGATATGCCTACTCTCCTGTGAACTGAGCCGAATGGAGTATCAAAGTGATAAGACAAAAACAACACTACCACCCTGCCGGAGCAACACGAGAAGGTTGACAAACTGGATTGCTTGGGAGTTTATCGCATCAGATGCGGCAACTGTGAGCAGAAGTATATTGGTGAAATAGGGAAAAAATCAGACCACGAAAATCAGAGAACACCAGACTGCAGAAACATGAAAACGGAAGGATCCGAAATAGCGAAACAAATTGCATTGACAGGAAACTAAAAAACTGGAAATCGACAAAAAGGCTGGCTGCATATGGTGAAAATACGAGAGAACGCAAGATACGGGAAACCATCGATATCATAACTAAAATTAAAACTAATGAATAGAAGACTTGAAGACAGGATAATTGAAAACTTTACATATGGAAATCAAGAAACAGCAAGATCAGCAAAAATAATACGATTAGATGAAGAAAACATTTTAAACTTGAAATAAAGAAATCGCTATGAAGCCAAAGAGAAACAATTTGAAACTTAGAGGAGACGTCTACAGTGAGCCTACTCAAACCAAGTAGGACAACTACCAAATTTTGGGGGTTGGCACACAAGATACTAGGGCATAGGAGTCATATACTTGACCTTATGGATAAAAGCACAACAGATGCGATGGAGGACAAGTATAGTTGGCCAATACTAGACGTGGTCAGCGAAGTAAAGGATCGGCTACGAGATTTTATCCATGCACATGCCGAAAAGTGATAGAGCAATCTGCAACGTCAAGTTAGTTCTGCATTTAGCTTTATGGGCCTACTCAATGAGGCGGAAGTATACGTGCTATCGAAGGCTTGCGACAAAATGTAGATAACGCCTTGAGTAGTAGCAATGATCGGGGGAAATCACTAAGCCAGGGAGATAAGAGATGGATCATACGAGACAAGAGGAAGACTTTGATAGGACCTGAAAGAGGATTGCGGACTGAAGGGGCAGATTTAGATCAATACAACTAATACAGTGAGGCAACCAGCGAGAGTGAACAAGTCTAATTGAATCCGCTCAAAAGGGCACATCTGAACTAGCTTTAA